TTTTTCTTACAACTCACAAAGTGCAGGGTTTAACTCTTCTACATATAATTACTAGTATCAATGAAACAGATCTGTATCATTTTACTAACAATCATTTTATTGACAGCTCATTTAGCTAATATCACACCAAGTAACAATTTACTAAAAATATATACCTGAAACTAATAAAACTCTAACTCTAACCTCATGTAATATTAGCTAAATAAACTTTTAGTAAAATGACTATTAGTGAAGTGAGAGGTATCAACTTATAGTATATGTATAATTTATCTGTCAAATAAACTAAAATTAATATACAAATATTGATATGAATGATAGTCTGTAAAAATCTGTAAATTAATTCACTAAACAGAAATGACTTCTGATAAATCAGACTATAAAAATGAATTATATTTGATAAATATATAATTCTAACTGTTCTAGTTACTTCTATTATACATGTTATTTGAATTATCAAAGCTGAGTACTCCAAACTACATACTAAGTTGTTTAAATTACTAGAATAATTATATGAAGTAATGATTCAAATAATATATGTTATAGAAGTGACTAGAATAGTTAGAATTTATTTTTATAGTCTGATTAATCAGAAGTCATTTCTGTTTAGTGAATTAATTTATAGATTTTTACAGATCATCATTTATATATATTAAACTACCTATTATAATTTGATATATTAATCTCAACAAAATCTAGTTCACCTTCTAACTAACCAAACTCTTTGCATTTGTGTAATACTTTATCTTGTTTAATTATTAATATAATATAAATTGTAGCATAGTAAACAAACCTGAATTTGGTGAAAATTATCATAAATAAATAAAAAAATTTTTTTAACTTTTTATATAAGTTAAAGTACTTTTTATTATTATGATTTTTTGAAAACTTACCAATTAAAAAAAAGTATGAAAAAAAGCTTTTAAATACCTATATTCAATTAAAATTAATTCAAAATAATTCTAATATTCAAAAAGTTTTATTAAAGATGAAGTTTATAAAAAATCTAAAGTATTTGAACTCGTAATTCTAGTATATAAAGGTATTTTAATATTAAAATCAAAGACAAGTGATAAAAACTAAGATTAAGTATTCTTTAGAAAGTATAAAAACAAGTTTAAATAATTTTTATAAGGGTCCAGTAATCTTAGTGTAATAGTTAGGTTGTTAGTTCACTATATAAGAGGTCTGAAATTCAAATCTCACTGTTAATGAATTTGAATAATTACTAAGATCTTTGTATCTAACTTATAGTAAATTCTGTTTATTTTCAGGAGTTGTAATCCTGTAAATTATATTGCACTAATATCAATTAGACATTAGAAGTATGATACAATATTTGAGTTATATTGTATAAATAAATCTTAATAGAATTTATGAGCAGGAGATCTGCATAGTAGAAATCCTAAATTGGGTAAAGTAGTATAGATTTTGATAGTTATATCAGTTAACACTTAATTCATAAAAGAAGTTTGTATATGAAGATTGCAGATTGAGTAAGTGTGAGTAAGTCTGTAGTATAATATAACCTAGTGTCTTGTATTTGTAACAACACCAACTTAGTTTAGTAGCTAACTAGATTTAAGAGGATCTAACTCATGAAACTTCTGAATTTGTAGAGGACTAATTTAGTGAAGAGCTACAGTAGGAACTAGGTTTATACAAATATCTATAAAGGTATATATTAGCTAAATTAGAATAGAGTACAGTATAGTTGAAGTATTCTGCAAGCTCTTTCTGATGAGGACAAAAGAGTACCTTGAGATAAGGCGTTTCTAATAAGAGAAACTGAGACACAAGCCAGTATGAGTAGTTTTCTAATTTGAAATAGTAGTAAAAAGTAATATTCTGTTATAACTAACAACAGAATCTTTTACCAAAAAGTCTATTCTATCTAAGGTTTTCTTTAAATTATCTAGAATAACAAGGTCATCTATAAACTGAGATTCTGCTAGAAAATCTGAATAATGAATTTGCTGAATTGTCTGTTGAAGTGCTTCACATGATAAAAGACATGAATATACTTCTTAAAGAATACTAGAAGTTGTATTTTGAATAATTTGAGCAGGTTTATCATAGGTTTGATGTACTTGTTCTTTAATGTTAGAAATTGCTCTTATAATATCTGCTTGAGCTACTTGTGTAGCATGATTATGACCTGATACTTTTTTCAAATTATGCTGACCTCTATCAAATTTAATTACTGCACGTATACCACAAAATAGTATAAAGTACTTTTTACAATACTAATAATAGATATTATTACAGAATCTATCTTTAACTATAAGATGACCCTTAATAACAAGTTTATTTTCACTATGAATAGAAGGAACAATATCACAGATTATATTATCCATTTTGAAGAAAAAAGTTTTTTTCTTCAGTAATTTATAGAATTTTTCATATAAGTTTCAGAAATAAGTTAAATATAAAATATAAAACCTGAATTATATAATTTGAAAATAGATTTAATTATATAGTGAAACTAATTAAAGTATATAGCAAAAAATATAAATCAAGTTTATATAAAAATGAAACCAAATTATAGATATATCATAAAGCTCAAGTGAAATCTAAATATATATATATAAAGAGTTTTTTTTTTTTTTTTTATACAACGAGGTCTATCCTCTAACTCTTTATTATTATCAAATAAAGGAATATATATACGTGTATATATACATTTAAAAAAATAAGAGAAGTAAAGGTAAGAGCTAATTTACTCTCAACCTAAGCTATGCTAAAAAGGCTGTAAACCTCTAGTCTTCGTATAACTGATCAATAGATAGTTGACCATTGCTAATATATTGATATAACTTGGATTCAATTTGCAAAGTGGGAATAGGGTTAGTAGAGAAGTATATGATTGCAGGTAATAAAGCAGGTGTTACTAAAGCTGATATATGTATAAGTCATCGAGAAGGTAACCAAATTTCTTCATAAATTGTTTGAATAATTAGATGATATAGTAGTGCTACATATTTAGTTTTATGTTGATCTCTTTCAAATAGTGCCAGAGTTGATGATGTAATAAATCCAATTAGAACTTCATTTTGAATATAGAGATATTTGAAAGCACTGATGAAACTTGAAATATTAGTTGTTAGTAACTCTGTTTCTGTAGCTAATATTGTTATTATATCAGTGAGGAGTCTGTCAATTGATGAAGAGTTATATGGGCATGTAAGTAGATGTGCTATTGTTTCAGGAGAAGAGTCGCAGTGTACACATAAGTAATTTTTATGTTTGGAAGGGTTTCATTAGTGAAGTATTAGATGAATTGGAAGTTCTCCAGAGATTATTTTAACTTTGAAATTTTTTAGCCTTGAGTATTGTAGATTAGTGTACAGAGATAATAGTCATTCGTCAAAGGATAAATAGTTTAATGTGCTTTCTCAACAAATATCTCTGAATCTTTGAGCCCATAGCTGAATTCTATTTTGATTTATCCAGATAGTACTATTTGTTATTTTCCACATATGTTTGAGTATTATATAAGTATTGTATACACATAGTGTTGATAGTAAACATAGAATGAAACGATTATAGAGATGTTTATGAGGGGTAATTTCTAATTCGATTATATGATCTGGTTTGTTTGTATGTCTAAGGTCTTTGTCTAGCAACAGCATTAGGTTTAAGAAGAGTATTATTGCTCTTGTTATAAACAATATATAAGGGAATTTAAATTTTTCTAATATACTTAATCTATATAGTGGGATGTTTTGTATTTCTTCAATCAATTTTACTAGATTTATATTGTTAGTTATAATTGTTATATGTGTGCCTGGAAAGAAGGTTGATGCAAAGAAAGAAAGAATAGTTAGTGAGGCTTGTAGTTGGCTAGACTAATTACTATTATAAACTCCAATAGTGGTTTCATGATTTGTAATAGAACAAGTTGCTGAAAGGAAATTTTTACAGTAAGTATCTTGTTGTTTTGTAGTAATATATAGTGAATATTGTCATTTGGAGTTATTGCTTGCTGCTAATGAGTTCCAGATTTCTTGTGAAAATGTTGAAAAAGCTGTTAATAGTCATGGTATAATTGGTTCTTTTATAGTACTCTCTGAAGTATATATTGGTATAGTTTTTTTTAGTGCTAAAGTAATATTATCCATATTCACATGGAGATTTCTACAAGAGTCAACCTGGATAGTATAGAGATCTTCAGTATTGTATTGAAAGAAATATTTTTTTGTTTTTAAGGTATTATCCTTTAATTCGCAACCCTAACAAGCCAGAAGGTTGTTGTTTGAAAAATAAAGGTAATGTTGAATTGTAGTAACTTTTTGGTTGAAATAATTAGTTTTGCCGATAATTAGGTTAGATGTGATAATTCAAGTTTTTTTCTTTGGTTTCCATTTAGTTAAGGTAAATGGGTTTGAATAAATATATATTGTAGTTGGATTAGCTATTGAGCTAATTAACTCTTGTACTTCGAAAAACTATTTAGGAGTTCATCCTTGTGAGATTTTTTGAATATTATAGTGAAAGTTATGCTACTCGAGGAGCTTCATATTACTATAGTTAAGGAATTGTTCTATACAGAAAATAGAGTAGTTATTTAGCTTCTGTTTAAGAAAGGCTGTTCGTAGATGAAGTTCTAGCAGTGAGTTAATTGAAGTATCCTTTAGAAATAGAGGGATCAGCCAATTATTATCTTCATATTTTATAAGTTGAATATTAGAGAGATGTGATACGATTATTGATTGTGCTATATGTATTTGGAGCTGTTGTAGAGAAAAAGTTGAGTTGTGGATAAGAATAGAGAGATTTGATGCTGTAGAATCTTGAAGTTGTTGTAATCAAATTTTGAGAAAAGAGGATTCGAAAGTCATATGATTTAGGTTTTTTATTAGTGTTGTAGTTAAGTGAGAGTTTTGGGCTTGAGGTAAGTTTATCAATGAGTATATTTCTAGATGATATAAAAAGAAGTTTGGTATTCTACATGATAATTTAGCTTTATATTTAACTATATTAGTATATAAATGAGTGAGTAAAGCAAGTTAAGAAGGTGATAAAAAGGTACTATATAATTAATAGGTAATTCTTGGGATTACTACACTATTAATTATATATATAGCTTGTTTCTCAGTTATGAGTATATGTTGGAGTTTGTTGAGGCTTGATTTTGCTTTGGAAATTATAATTTCTGTTTCTTTGTAGAGTTGCATGATAATAAGAACCAAACACCTAAGTATTTAAATAGTTCATCTTTTTTTATTGCAGTAATTATTTCCTTGTTGAGTTTAATTGTTTTGTCTACAAGTATTGAATTTGTTGTAAGAATGGATTTTGCTGGGTAAACTCTAATTCTAGTAAACCTATAGAAGGATTTTGCTTTCTCTATAATTTGTAGAAGTTCAGATCTTGTTGGTGCTAACCATTGAGAGTCATCCATATATGCCATAACTGAGGTGTGTACTAGTGCACTATTTGGTTGAAATGGTATTGTACTTGAATAGCTAGTATTTTCTTTATGTATTTATAATTTTTTTTTTTTTTTTTTTTTTTTTACAAGTGACCTCTTTAGCTGTATATTTTTTATTAAATTTATTATAATTAATTACAAGTAATGATTACAACGTATTTAACTAAATATGCAATCTTAGGACTAATTTATCCTCGAGATATACTTGACTAAGACTTTTATAACCTGTATTTATATTATCCTAGGTTTTGTTATACTACGACTTATCCATTTAAGATTCTTACTACATTTCCCGCATCTTCTATGCTTGTACAAAGCTACTTCCTAATAGGTAGTCATCCATTACAGATATTTCGGCATCATGATTCTCACGGTCACTTTCTGATTAGGTATTCTGGCTTAAGGGTATCTGTTATCAACATTTATACAATACTGAGATACGAAAGCACTTACGTTACGTCGAGTTGTATTCACATGCTATGTTCATACATCTTTTTGAGAACTCCCGTGTATTGGTAAGTACAGGCTATATTTCGTAATCCGAAGATTACTTCTAACTAGGTTTGTAATACATAGTACTATTTCCAGCTTTCTTCAGAAGAGGTTGGTATTTAATATTGGTACGCCCTTGTGTACTTTGTCGTATTGCTACTACCAGCTCGGTGCTTCTAGCTATTTCAAATTATTACATGTCCTCAGCATATGAACCACCTACTCTGCAGCAGGAATCTATCTTTTTAAGTTTTTGTGTTTGCCAGAGGTGTTCTGTATTCAGTAAGGCCAATATCTTATCACTTAATCGTATCTTGTATAATCCCTGCTTCTCTCACTACTCAGTTAGTTATTGTATAACCCTCCTAAGCAATTCTATTACACCATGTAATGATGTTGGTTTCTGCTATACTCTTGCCAATATGGACTTACTTTTTTCATATTTTCATGTAACCAACTTCTGTGACATTGACTGTCATACATAGTGCCACCTTTCTACAAGATAGAGCTGCTTCCAATAATTCCTATTCCAAATATTGTACTTCACTTAGACTTCTCACAGGGCTTTATATTTGACTATAAACTCCTTAAATAAGGTTACAGAGTATTTTTTATCTCCAGTTAGTCTTGAACCGTTGACCTTGTCTATGAAGGGTTAGTAGCTTAACCACTAAGCTACAGGTACTAGACCTCATTAATTTACTATTTTGATTAAACTTGGCTTGATTATTCTTAGCTCTCTCATGATAGTAACAAATAGTGTTGATTATGTAGAATAACATTACTAATCAGATTTTATACAAACAAATATCATTAATATATACTATTTTCCTATATATTTTAAAAGTTAGATTTTTTAAATCTACAAATTTGTTAAATATTTAAACTTTAATATATTAATATTACTTTTGCAGAAAAATTAACAATTAATTAATAATTATGAATTATATAACAATTAATAAAATAACTGACTTTCTATTGCTTTTAATAGAATATATTAAAGTTGCTTAAATCTATTATTACTTTTTACTAATATTGTCATCTTATTATAACATTTCAACTCTGTTAAAGATCTTAGATAATTACTCTTCCTTGCTTAAAAATAAAGAATATAATTATATTAATAAACTGATAGCAATAAACAAACAAAGAACTCAATACTTATTCTTAGGCCTTAAGTATTCAAGAAGAATAAGTTATAAAATCTATTATAAGTATTATTAATCTAGTCACTATATCTAATTTTGTCTTAAAAAAGCCTGATTTGATTTTTTCTAATTCAATAAACCTATTCTCTAAAAGTTCTATTTTCAAAACTACCAACTCATCTAAATTTGAAACTACTGCTAATAATATTAATTTAACCAAATTCACTTCTTATAACTTTTTTTTTATTAAAATTCTAACTAGTTTAAATTCTTTACTTCACAA